GTGATATGAGACAAGTATTGCAAGCCGCGTGACCACGTTTCGCACGCTGCTCTGAGGTCGTGTGCCCAGGGCGCTCTGCCACTTTGAATGGATCAGCTCCACGGCCTATCATCGAGACGTCATCATCAGGCTGCTCAGGGGGCCATGTGGGTCCTCATCGGAGTCTTCGGGCTCATCGGGGTCTGGCGTGCCGGCCTTGTTCAGTCAGTTGTGGGCGGGTTCTCATCGGTGTCCCAGGGGTCTCATGTCGGGCATGATCTCCACCGGACAGACGTGGCCTAGTCGTACATCCTTCCCAGGTCGTGCGTGCAGCAGCGCTCCGAGCCAGGATCTTGATGGCTGCGAGGGCCGCCGTCGCGAGCGCGAGGTCGATAGTGGCCCCGGGGTCGGTGCGCCAGGCGTGTCCAGCGGAGGTCCCCACTGGAGGTCCTTCGGCGCTTGGGGGGTGGCACCGACGGGGCCCGCCGCATTGCGCCGCGGGGGCTCCGAGTGGTAGCTATTCTGGATCTGATTGCTCAAGGCAGCCTGGCGGGCGCTGTCGGGCGCGGCAGGGCCGCGATATAGGAGGGCCACTTGAAAAGCGGAGCGGCCTTGGCCCCCCTTTTGGGGGGTCAGTGCGCGGGGGGCCTTGCGGGCGCGAAGTAAACCAGCTCGACGTGCGAGACGCTGGCGCATGGCGGGCGCGTCGCCGAGCAGCGCGCACTTGGGCTTGTCGCTGAACAGCGCGCATATGATCGAGGGGCCGAGGCGGCGCGCCGTGCGCGCCGACACCGTTGCGCATGGCCGATGGCAGGGCCTGCTTCGCAAACTTAAGCTGCGGGGCTTGCCATGCGGAGGGGCCCGAGAGCGTGGTGCGCGCGTGGCATCTTTTGCAAACTCGCGGAGAAAGCCGCGAGTTAGTCAGGGCCCTGCCAGAGCTCGCCTCAATCCCTAGGGCATTCAGGGCGCTGGCGTAGACGCGCCCCAGGGGCCGTAGTCTGTGGCATGCGTGCTGGCCTACTTGCGGGGAGCTGCTGGTGACCTTCATTGTGCGACTCGCTGGCGGTGGCCCAGGGGCCCCGAGCGCGCGCGCCAACAGACGCAGCATCTTGGTCGCCCAGGTGCTGACCGCGGCGGGGTGGCCTGGATCGGGCGCGGTGGTATCGTCCGCATTCAGGTCGACTGTTCCTGGGCTGTAGGATGCGCTATTTTGGGCGTCGAGGGGGGGGGGGGGGTCGCGCGCTGCAGCGCAGACGCGGCGAACGCGCGCCTGGGAAGGGCGCCCTGAGAAGCCCGCGCCGCGGCGACGCCCGCGCCGCAGCGGAATGGCAGTTGCCCCGCGCCAATCGACGGGCCCCCGTAAGCATGCGCGTGGCTGGCTCGAGGATCTGTTCAGGAAATCCGTGAACAGCAGCGGCGCGCAGTAGCTCCAGCCGCTGCGCCTTGCCCAAACATTTAGCAATTTCAACATTGGCGCGCGCTGGGGCGCGTGAGTCAAGGCGCTTTCGGCCCCTGGCCTCTGCCCGCGCAAAAACGCGAGCAGCCGCGTCTGTCGTGGACAGTTGGGAGCTGCTGCGCTTAATGCAGTCTGTTCAGCCTGGGGGCCCATGGCCTTGCGGCCCACAGGCCCGATGCGTGAAGTCGAGGGGGGCAACGGGGTGGCGCCCCCCTGTGGGCCCCCCCGGGAGGGCCGCGTGGATATTCGCGAGGGCGGTGGGCCGGGTGCCGCAGATTTCGCACGCGTGGAGGAAATGTCCCAGGAAGGAGGGTGCAGCATTGGGCGCCGAGGCTCAGTGATGAGACCGAAAACGTTCAGCATCTGCAGCGGCGCACCTAGGACATTGCAGGGCTGCTGGCCGCGGCGCGAGCGGTGGTGGCCGAGGGCCTTCAGTGCGCGAGTGTTTCATCTTGCCCCGCAGGTGCATGCGCGCACTTCCAAGCGAGTAGGCGATAATGGAGCGCGCGGTGTGCGGGATGTGCGCGCATGCGACCCTCGCGCCCTTCGAAGGCCATGAGCCAGTGCCAGTGCCGCCATGCTTGCGCAACTGCGCCAGCGCCGCGCCCGACCGTCAGTTGCGCGCCATTCACTCGCAGCTGAACCAGCCGAAGAGCGCGATGATAGGTTGTGCTTGCGGTTTGGTGGTGGTCCAGGTCGCCTCCTGCGGTGGTGGCGATGCGTGGGCCCTGATGCGCGCCCCGTGTACTTGTGCTGTGCACCGGGGGCAATTTTGAAATAGTGGCTTACGCTGGGCCTTCTCACTTGAAATAAGTGAATGACCCATCCAGCTCTCGCTGAGGAAGGTCAGAACTGCGAAAGCTGAGCTGACCGAGTCTCATGGCGCCGAGCTGGGCCTCAGCCTGGCTCGGTGGTGGCGTCCCCCCTGCGAGCATCTCGTTCTGCGTGTCGGCCTTCAAGGTCGGCGCCGATCTGATTGTCCCAAGGATGTACGCCAGGTGTGGCAGGATCAGGTGCGCCAGCAGCAGCGCCAGGAGATGCCCCCGCAGTGGCCACGTTTTTTTTTGTGCGTCTCGAAGCCGCGGTGGAGCTCGTGGAGGTGAGTGCCAATCGACGCCAAGATGGGGGTGGTGTTCCCAGCCACGACCGCCGCGGGCGCGTCGGCGACAACCCCTTGGAGCGTGCCGGGCGCCTCCTCGAGACTGCCTGTCGAAACAACCCCAGCACCAGCAGCCATGAAAACAACGCGAGCGGTGGCCACCTCCAGGTGGATGGCCTCGAGTTCCCTGGCTGCCTCCATGTCACTTTTCTTGGCGTCGAGCTCCTGCTGACGGCCGTCGACGGCAGCGGAGAGCGTGTCGTACTCGTTCTGCTCTGTGCTCTGGTTGTCGAGGGCCCGCCAGAGCATGTCGTCGGGCGTGCGACGTGCACGCTCGCGCTCCTCGGCGGAACTGCTTCCTGGCGCTGACGAGGAGCTCGTTGTTCTCGCCAGGCTGCAGGCGCCGCAGAGCAGCAACGGCACGCCGTGCCCTGGTGTCCTGGCGGGCCTCCTGTCCAGTTGCTGGCTCTCCGCTATTCCGTGGGAGTCGCCGGGGCGCTGAGGAGGACCGAGGGCGGCGCACCTGTCCAGGCGGAGTCGCCTCAGAACGGTCTGGTCGACCCCGCCGGTTGCTCCCGCACATGTAGCACCGCTCGTGCCTGCAGTCGTTCCTGGTGCAACCACATTGGCGAATAGCCACGCAAGGCCAGTGACCCTTGTCGCTGGCTTGTTGTTTTCGCCTCTTGCCACCCTTTCCCTTGGGCAGCTTGGAGCCGCGATGTCGTGACACTCAGGCAGCCCTGAGCAGACTAATGAAGGCTCAGGCTCAATTGGAGAAGCAATCTGAATATGTGGACCAGCAGGAGCAGGTACTGGCCGACCTAGAGGTCAAACAGGCGCTGCTCAGGGCGGACCTAGAGGTGGCCCGCACCCACAAGACCGAACTGGAACTTCGAGTGTACAACCTGATGCGCGAGCCCCTCTCGGACCCGTACAGCCTCCCGCCAGGCCTGGAGCACCCCTATGAGCACCAGGAGCAGCTCGGCGAGGCATTCAGTTTCGTGAACAAGGGGAAGGGCAAGGGCAAGCTGGACGCGCAGGCTTTCTTGCAGGGGATGCACTACATGAGCCAGCAGCTCCAGCCCGACCTGCTTGAGGGGCTGACCGCGCAGATGGGCATCTTCGCAGCTCAGGTGCGCTCAGCTGGGGGCATGTTCGAGGCTCCCAGAGAAGAGCGTGCAGAAGCTGAATCCGAACAAGCTGAAGCCCGACAGCCTGAAGCTGCTGCTGCTGCCGCCGTCGCTGATGAGGCGATGCCCCCCGCGCCCTTGGCTGAGCGCAGGGCAGCCGAGTCGGAGCCCGAGAGCGAGGCAGCGGCGAGGAGGCGTCTCACGGCGTCGGGGGAGGCTGCGGCGGGCTCAGGCAGAGCCCCGTCGCGGGGGTAACCCCCAGCGCCAGGCAGCTGAGGGGGGGCTGCAGATCCTCACGATCAACGGCAACTGTTGGTCAACTGCAGCCTCTTTCATCAAAGAGTGTGGGGCTCACATAGTACTTGTTCAAGAACATAAACTACATGGTCAGGGTCTCTACGAGGCCAGGGAGAGTGTTCGCAAGCTTGGGTGGAAGAGTTTTTGGGCTCCGTGCTGCACCACGCAGCGTTCGGGGCGATCCGCTGGAGTTTGCATACTGGCGCGAGCTCATCTTGATCTCTGGCAACAGCCAGGGCGTGAGGCCCCGCTGGTTGAGCACCGTCTACTACAGGTTTTCTTTCGCTCGCGGACGCTTGGAGTGATTTCGATCTATTGTGGATATTGGAAGGACGGAGAAGGGCTTGGCCAAGTCAATTTACACATTGCCAGCGTCCTGGGAGAGGACATTCTGCGAAATAATTTGCCATATGTTGCAGGCGGAGATTTCAATTTCGAGCCCAACGTGTTCCAGGAGGGATTTGCGCCCCACAAGCTCAAGGGCCAGCTGGTGGTGCCGACGCCGATGATCACCTGTGTTGCATCAGCTCCTGGGACATGTATCGATTACTTTCTAGTGGGCAAGTCTCTGCTATCGTGCATAGATTCGGCTCGCACCGAGATGGACGAGCACATTTTCCCGCACCGCCCAGTCTTCCTAACTTTGAAGGAAGGCCTTGACAAGATCACTGTGAAACGGCTTCGCCAATTTGCACGCTTGCCTGTCGACCTTCCAATCGGTCCTGCGCCTGAGGCCCCTGTCTACGAGGATCTCGGAGCCCGTCTGGATGCCCTGCTGGAACCTTTGGAAGTGGAAGGCGGCTATAGGCTGCCGAACGGCCCCGAGAGGGCTGATCTTCAGAATGGTCTGGATGATGTCTATGGGTCCTGGTGCGACCGAGCTTGGGGCGAACTTGAGGGCACTCTGCAGTGCTACCCTGAGGGCTTGAGAGGTGGTTCTGAGTATCAGGTGGTGGAAATACCTCTTGGGGAACTCCTATGTACCCGCAGGTCTCCTACTAAGAGCCCTTATCGTGCCCTACATTGGCTAGCTCGGCGTGCTCACGAACTCTACTCTTTGGTGCACAATGGGAAATATCTTCTGAATGGTGAGTATTTTAATGATTTGGTTTCTTCGACTTATCGTTCGACGGTTTCTGGAGGAATATTTAACTATCACTATCCTGGTGGAAGGTCTCTCTGGATGGGTCTCTTGCAGGCAGCCTTAGTACCTTTGCATTGTTCTGGGTTCATTTGTTGCGCAGAGCTGGTCGCTGAATCTCTTTTTGCCCTCTACCAGCTTGCAGATTTCAATGCAGAAGGATTTCTTCCCAGAGAGCGCAAGGACCGTGCACAGAAGTGGAAGGACTGGTGCACGGAGGCGCTCTCGGGAGGGGCCAAGTGGGCCCATGCATACACTAAAGCAGCAGAAGCGCGCCGTCAGGACCTTGTCAGCACTGATAGTGGCAGCTACACGTCCTGCTTGACAGCTCAGTTGGAGGAAGAAGTTCAATCTTGGGCTCAGGCATGGGGGGAAGCAGGACGTGATCCGTTCCAGACGTTTGAATGGCCTGAAGACATGGTCTTCCCGAAGGCCCCTGAGATTGACGAGGTGATAGCCCTCGGCAAGAGCTTCAAGAGGGCAACCATCGCAGCTGATGGCTTTCACCCGCGGCATTATTCTATTTTATCTCGCCCTGCAGTTGCTGTAATTGGACAAGTCATGTGTCTCATGACGGTGCTAGGAGCGTCCCCCTCCTGGATGCGCACTCTCCAGATTGCGTTGTTCCGAAAGCCTGTGGCTGGGCGTAGACCTATCGGATTTTACCAATCTATTATTCGGATGATATCTCGGTGGCATTCTCGGGACTGCAAAAACTGGGAGAAGTGTGTCCAGGACAGGGGGGTATTTTCGATGGCGCCGTCCAGGTCCCCAGCAGATACTGTATGGCGGCAATCTCTTCGTGGGGATCTAGCTGTAGGAGATAACAAACACGTCTTATCACTCCTGGGTGATCTGAAACAATGTTATGAGCATGTCCAACATCCTCAGCTAATACGCACGGCTATTGACTGGAAATTCCCACTGCACTCATTAAGATTCGCACTGCACACTTATGGGTGGAGGAGGGTCTTATGCATGGATGGGATGGTTTCAGATCCTATTGAACCTGGGCAGGGGATTGTGGCGGGGAGCAGCACTGCAACGTTTGAAATCAAATGCTACTGTATCCCTAGTGTTAACGCCTACCTCGAGCGTGGCTTCACCCCTTCACTGACGGTTCATGTTGACGACTTTGGTTTGAATGAGTATAACGATTCTATTTCAGGCTGTGTTACGAACATGGCCATGGCACTGGCTTATCTTATCGATAACCTTTCCAACCTCTTCAACCTCTCTTTCTCCCTCAAAAAGTTCTGCTTGACGGGCACGAGCGTGGCTCTGGTCCGCGCTGCACAAGCAGGGCTGCAGAAGTTTGCAGGAGCTTACGACCCGTCGATTGTCAACCTGGGCGTCGATTTTGCCCCAGGTAAGCATCGGAAGGTGATGAAGGGCAAACAAAAGAGGAGGGAGAGGGTGTGCAAAGGGAAAAGACGGCTCTACAAAATTGCCTCACTGAAGAATCCCAAGCGGTCCAGGGCCAAGGTTTGGTTTTGCGGGGTCAAGCCGGCTGTGACGTACGGGGAGGAGGTGGTGGGGTGGAATCCGTTGGAGATCAGGAGGTTACGCTCCCAGGCGGGAGGCTTCCTGGGACTGACGAGCTGTGGAGCAGATCTCGACTTAGCATTTTCGCTGGAACCTGAGAGGGATCCACTTCGTCATGCAGGTGCTACGGTCACCAGGTATGCCAAGGAATATTGGCTGACTACCTCGGTGGAGCACAGGCAAGGAGACTGCTTGACGGTAGGTGAGCTGTCTAAGATTATTCCGCTGGTTCAGAGACACCTGGAGGCGTACCCTAGAAGATCTTGGGACTTCAGAGCCTGGGGACCTGTGGGGGATATGCTCCAGTGGATGCACAAAGCGAAGTGGGATGTTGTGGGGCCTGGACATTTCTCGAGGCGCAATGGGGACCCCCTCATCCTGACGGCCACGCCTCACTGTCAAGTCTCCAAGTATTTCGTGAGCGACTTAGGTAACCAGATGATTTCAAATCGAATGGACAAATACTTAGGAGAAAGCGACCACGAACGTGCGAGACAGATCCTGGACAGGGGACTTTGGGTGGAACCTCCGAGGGCCTTCTGGAGAGGAAAATCGCACAAGAGGTCGAAAGTTCACCGTCGATGTGTTCGTCAGGTTTTTACACGTTCGTATGTCACTGCCAGTACTCTCCATCGATGGGGATATCAGGTGTCCCCGCTGTGCCCGTTCTGCCGCAGCGAACAGAGTGGGTGCGTGGACACGATCTGGCACAGGCTTTTTGTATGCCCTGGCTTGCAGGAGAAAAGGTCTGAGTTTTTGCCTGAGGAGCTGGTCAAGCGAGGGCTGGAGGCTGGTGCCGAAGACCCCCTGTACAGCTACCTGTGGCACCCGTATCCTGCTGGCATCTCTCCGTGTGCTTGGGCTGGGGAGGTGAAGTATGTGGGCTCAGACTACCAACCGTGTGACAGATTTTGTTTTTCTGGGAATGAGTTTATCTATTCGGACGGCTCCTGCAAGGGGCCCACTCTCCCTGTGTCTCGGGCTGGGTGGGCGGTGGTGGCTGTCGACGAGGAGGGAAGGTTTCTCAAGGCTGTATTTGGGAATGTTCCTGGATTCCTCCCTCAGAGCGCTGTCTTTGGAGAAGTGTATGCGCTGCTGCAGGCGCTCGAGCATCTAGATAGCTCGGTCGGCGACGTGCCAGAAGAGTATGTCATCCATGTCGACTGCAACTCTCTGCTCTCGGGCTCGGAGAACAGCTTCACGGCTACCTCTGGCTCGACTCCATTGTCGGAGGTGTGGAGAGTACTCTTTCAGAGGCGCTACCCAGAGTGGCGCCTGAAGAAGGTTCGTGCTCATCAGACAGATGAAAATCTCACAGGAGTGCCTCTTCGACACAAGCGAGGAAACGATAAAGCAGATGAGTTTGCCAAGGATGGGGTTCACTCACACCCCGACGTCCTAGATAATATTCACAAATATGAAATGGCGGAGGCAGACTGGAATGAGGTTGCGATGCCAGTAGCTAAGTTTCTGTCTGATCTGCCGACGGCCAAGGAGCTGTTCGGTAAGCTTAACAGAGAGCCGCGACCCCCGAAGCCGAGAATTGTCTCCAATGGCCGTGCTCACCGTGTGCTTTGGAACGGTTGCCGCTGGCGGTGCGTCCAGTGCGCCAGGTGTTTCTCTGAGAAGCGTGCGCCAGGTAGATGCGCCAGACTACCCCCAGCTCTTAAGGAGCTGGCTAATGTCCAGCTAGATCGCCCACACAAGCTGTATGTTTGTAGAGTGATCGAAACGGATCTCCCGATTGTGTTTTGTTTGGTTTGTGGGGCCTATACTTCAGGCCAACCCCGAAAGCTGGGGGGCCCATGTGACAAAGTGTATGTCGTGCAGCGTCGCCAGATTCTTAATGGCAGACTCCCGTGGCCGAAGAGTCACCATGTCTCCCACCCCTGGCCCCTCACCCCCGATTGCCCCAAAGGGGGAGAGTGGTGGAATACGCTGTACTAATTCATTTTAGTTTTGGTCAGCCCTTTCGTTCCTGGAATGGTAGGGTGAGGAGAGAGCCACTGGAAAAGGAGGAGGAGGAGGAGGAGGAGGAGGAGGAGGAGGAGGAGGAGGAGGAGGAGGAGGAGGAGGAGGAGGAGTGGGGGAGGGGGGAGGAGGAGGAGGAGGAGGAGGAGGAAGGAGGGAGGAGGAGGAGGAGGAGGAGGAGGAGGAGGAGGAGGAGGAGGAGGAGGAGGAGGAGGAGGAGAGGAGGAGGAGGAGGAGGAGGAGGAGGAGGAGGAGGAGGAGGAGGAGGGAGGAGGGAGGAGGGGGAGGAGGAGGAGGAGGAGGAGGAGGAGGAGGAGGAGGAGGAGAGGAGGAGGGAGGAAGAGGAGGAGGAGGAGGAGGAGGAGGAGGAGGAGGTGATGAGATGACATGAGACCAATCGCATAGCGAAATCCATAAAACGGCCACCCTCTGAACTTGTCGGGGAACACGACGAACAAGAAGGAGGCGAACACGAACCAGTACGGGAACCCAAGTACAGAACGCAGAACTGCCCGAAGGACCCGTACACGAAGTAGTAAGACACCCTCCACTCTCCAACAGATTGGGCTGGTTACGCCTGCACGGCAGGAGCAAACCGCTCACGGAGAAGGTGTTCCATTTCATCCAGCCGCACACCCATGGCGAGGGCGGCAAGCTCGGTGCATACCGCGTCGAAGTCTACCTCGAAGTCGACGTCGGTAGTTCCGTTGAACACGAAATTCTCACGGAGGTAGGCCCGCATCGCCGCAGGACGGCGCAACAACACCAGGTCGGCCATGTCACTGCAGAGCTCCCCATATATGTCTCGCGACTCGTCCACGCCGTGCGGGTTTGCGAATGATTCTATCTGCTCGCAGTCGTCGTCGAAGTGGTACTGCACTTCGGAGTCGGCGTCGAAAGACTGGGAGGCGTCGCTGGGAAAGAGAGCAACATCACCATCACCAGGAAAACCGGCGACGTCAGCTGGACTGTAGCTGACGGCATCAGGCTCGACCTTTGACTCCTCCTTCCCAACTTCACGCTCGCGCGTTTCACACACCAATTCACTCATTGCAGACCCAGCCGTGGCGACGAGGGAAGACGAGGAATTACTAGCAAATGGCTCCAACACCGCCACCCGCTTCTCGCAAGCCTCGTGGGCTAGTGGGTCTGGCTCCAACTTCGCCTTCTTGATCACATCTTCCACCTCGTCGTGATCCTGCGAACATTGAAACACTCTATCACAATCAGAGTCGTCATCTGGTCTGTAGCTGACGGCATTGGGCTCGACCTTTGACTCCTCCTTCACATCTTCTCGCACGCACGTTGCACTGACGTTTCCGTACACAGCGGATCCAGCAGTGGCAACGAGGAGATACGAGAAACGACAAGCAAAGGGCTCC